CTTCAACTCCTCTCATCAAGTCACTCGTATGCCCTCAAGTTGGTACGTCCACAGACATAGACTTCAGGCACAATGGCCTTGATCAGCAGGAGGAGGAGACAGTCTACTGCCCGCACTCTTCCAGGCTGAGGAGGACGCTAAAGGTGAGGATACTTGCGGGGAGAGGTTGAGCATACTCAAGGCCCTGAGCAGGAGGTCATCGAACGAGAGAAGGATACGGTAGCTACCTTGGGGCAAGCAGCACCTGGTCTGTACTGGAAAAGAGCTATGGCTGCGCTCGACGAGCTGGTCGAGGGAGATTGAAGCAAGGAGAGCGATGCTTGCCACGTCCTGCTCCTGCCTTTCCTGTTCCTCTCTTCTTAGCCATGGAGCAGGGCTCAGGGGCCCTGCACTTTCTCGCGTTGGGTCTGGGAGTGTGCAGTCATTTCCCGCTGCGAAGATTCATGTTATTTTTGAGTTTGAAATTATTTTTGAAACATGTTATCGTGAGGTCTTAATGAAACATCACAAGTGATCTGAGGTGCATGAATACTAACCCACAACATAAACGTCCTCAATTCTATGATCTAACGACGGAGGCAATAACTAAGAAAGATGGACAACAAGACGTGTAAATCTTTCATTACATACCCATTTCACTTGATAATCGTCTGTATGTGAAGTAAGCATGTGTTGAAATACTCAGTCGTTAGATATGAGCAATGAAAACTTAGACAAGCATGTAAGTTAAACCATCTGATATCAAACATCTTCAATCTCATCTGACTATCTTGCTCCCCAGCCATGTTTCTCCATGGTTTGTGGGAGGCGCAGGACCCCTGTACCCCTGTACCCCTGACTCGAGCCTTGTTTGTGGGAATTGGAGGTGGGTGGGTCCGAGAGGCCTTCATAAGATGGCGGTCGGGGCGGTGGGCAAACAAAAATGCCCGTGACGAAGTTCAGGAACGAACAAGAGTTCATCATGTGCGTCATGGACAAGCACATGCGCAGCTTGCAAGGAGCCAGCTGTAGGATCAAGTCCCTCGCTGGCAGGCTCATCTTGTCTTCCGTGAGGGGCTGTTACACCATGGTCTCCAGTGGGATGCGCAATGGGGAGGCGAGGGCGATAGAGGACGTGGAGGAAACACGCTACCACCTGTACTTTAGCATGATGCTTTCGATCAACAACGACAACAGCTGCTATGACACGAACTCCTCCATCTTAGTCTCTGAGCTGTCCGCTATGCTCGCTCCCATCGTCCCTCAGGACCTCATTCCGCCCATCGTGGCGTGCGCGGCCGTGCTGGTTGGATGCCTAGCGAGCGAGTATATGCAGGAAGAAGCTCCTATCGTTGTGATGCGCCGACGGTGCAGGAGCACCGGCCTGTCCATGCTCAACGACCTTCAGCTCGACGGCCTCAACGCCGTCTTCCCTGCCCTGGTGTTGTGCTACTACATCTACAGGTCAGCCAGCGAGGACAGGGGTTGGTGGTACCACCTGCTTGACCTGGACATGGATGATGAGCAGCTTGCCTCTATCCGAGATGAGGCTGCCGACTACCTCGCAGACCGCGTCCTTGCCGACGTCATCCAGGACAAAGGAGCGTTCTTGGCCTGCCCGGCCCTTGTCTTGACCGGCGAGGAGGAGCTGCGCATGCACTTGTACAGGAGGAAGGTGCTAGTGCCCAAGTACATGAGGCTGTTCTCGTGGGCAAGCGCCGAGTACCAGGACATGATGCGCCAGATGCTCGACCTCATTGCAGAGAGGGGCTTCAGGGAGGCCGTCCAAAACGGTTGCCAGTGCCCATGGAGGGAGCTGTTTCGGAGGGCGGAGTTCCTGGGCCTGTGGGAGGCAGAAGGGGTGGGGCTGAGCACCGGGGTGCTTGCAGACATGCTGCAGTTGCTGCCCGACGACGACGTGCCCTTCTCGGCCATGTTCTCCCTCATCCTCCGAGACGCCGTCGGGGACCTGAGGCCCAGTCTCCGCCGCACTTCCCTGCATGTTGATGTCTTCCTTAGCTTTCTGGATTTCATCAGACTCTGCAATCACACCAGCGTGTCTTACGAGAATTTTGCTGCCAGAGTCAAGCTTTGTGTGCGTCCTCGCCTCGACTACGCCCCACACCTTCTGGCCGACATGTCCAACAGCGGTCTCACCATTCTTACCCGGAGGCGCCGGAAGGCGATGCACAAGGTGAGCAGGGAGTTGATGCTTGGCTATGCGATGCTTGCGAGCACCATCTCGGACAACTACAGCCGCATCTTGCCAAGGGACCGATGGCTCGTTGGCGGTGAGGAGCAAGTAAAGGCTGTGCGGAGGCAAGCGTCCGAGCACATCGTGAAGCTGCTGGGGAGGGTGGGGGTGTAGATGAGCAAGAAGGCCTGTGAATCGGAGTTTTCTTTGTCTGAGTCGATTACGACAATAAAGTATACTCACGAAGTTTTGACTTTCCTCTTTGCATTGCACTTTCCCTTTTATTGATCTTTCGATTTCAATTCTCCTGCTTCATCAAAAGCAAGTCCTTGTGGTTGTTTTTATCTTGCTGGCACCTTTGTAGGTGTCTTTTCACATCTGCGTATCAATTTCTATGACTTTACATGCACGGACCAGATGCTGTTTCCTGGCTGGTGTTGTTGAACACTGATCATTCGATCTACTCCAACGTCTTCAACTCCTCTCATCATGTCAAAGGTGATCCTTCAAGGCAAGTTGGTAGAATCTCGTGATCCCACCTGTCGTCGATCACCCGCTGTTGCTGCCGCTGTTGCCATGTCCGAGTTGTGCATCCGGTATGAGCTTTATCTCTCCACCAACACCTTGGATTACCCCTACTCACTCATCTACCGTCTACCACCCCTCCCTGCATACCGATCGGAAGACTTTTGCACCGTGATAAAGCTCCTTTTGAAATTCTGCTTCAAGATTTGAAACGAGTTAGTTCGGCTCTTTGATGACAAAAAAAAGAAATGCCGAAGAAACAACGAGCTCCGACTGCCAGATGTACCCGTCCATTCTCCTATCAAAATCCACCCCTCCTTCCCTCCCTTCGTCCATGAAGCTCAAAAATGAATACGACGTTCCAATTCTGCTTGTTATCAAATAGAAATTTCAAATCCTATGATAGAAGTTCGTGAGGCTTCATATTATTGGCTAAAATGTACCTTGTACGGAGTGACACCAGCACCGAGGGGTGCACTTTCTTGAAACATGTAGTAAATATACTCCAAATTTTGTCTGTAAATATCAAATGTTAGGCAGAAGGTTGGTTCGGGTTTCGGTGGTCATCGCCTCTAGGTCCGAAAACTATTTTAAAATTAAAACATTATCAGTTTCCCCCACATCGACGGGAATACGGGGGTGGGTACTTCATCATAGCCACAGGGGTTGATAATTTCTTGTTGCAGTGATTTTGTGGGGTGACAATATGGAAAAATTGGGGTAGGGGTGAACAAACATCCTAGCCAGGGTGGGGTTATGATCTGCACAAGAGGAGTGTTGTGGAGTAACTTAGGGGTGGGGTAGTAACTCCTTGAATGTGGGGGTGAGGGTGTCCCGACACTGCTCAGGTGGGTGTGGGGTCCTCTAATCGATGCTAAAAGGGTGGGGTATATCAGGTATTAGGACCGGGTGGACTATTTATTGCCGGGGGTGTGATTTACACGGTTGAAGCGGGGGCAGGTGCTCCGGCGCTCGGCAGTAAAGCAGCGAAGAAATGTGGGGTAGCGAGTGAGTATGGGGAGGAAGTGGAGAAAAATGCAGAAGAGAAAGGAGAACATTACAAAGAGGAAGCGGGTGATTGATGATGAATAATCCTAGCTCAGACTTGTGTGATGCACAGCTGAATCTTGCTCTGGTTGACAGGTTTACAAGCTTCTCGTAGACTAGATTATGTTCTCCAACTGAAGTATCGCCGCGTTGAAGGATCGAAGGAGCGCCATTGTGAAGAATGGATGAGGAAAATCAAGATCAGGTTATCTTCACCAAAGCAGAAAAGATCAATCTATGGAACTTCCTGAAATATGACCTGAGCAAGTACAAAGATGAAGGCAAGGAGGTATGAACTGAAGTGATACCTGGCCCCGTGTAACTGGTTCTCGGAAACAGAGGATAGCATGGTACATGTACGACTGGGCAAATCAATCGATCGCGTCAGCAGCGTTTGCTGTGCTTCTTCCTGTCTTCCTGAACAACATAGCCGCCGACGAAGCTTACAAAGGCTCCCTCACCGTCCCTTGTCCAGATGTTTGTACTTTGCAGGTGATCACTGTAGCTTTCCTTGCTCCCATCATTTTCTCTCTGTGCACCGACCTCTCTCCTCCCTCTGTCACCTTTGCTTTCTCCTCCCTCGATCGTGCTCTCCCTCGGCTCTCGCACGTCCTCTCTCCTCACTTGTGCACAAAAGGGTGGCTGTCCGGGGACGAAATACCCCTGCAAGGCTTGCGTAGTGGGTGAGGGAGTCTTCCAGTGGAACCCCAAGGCAGCATCGATCACTCCAATCGTCCCCAAGACTGTTGACTTCATGTTCCCTGTCGGGCCCTTCGAGTTTGCTATGAAGGTCACGTCGCTCAGCGTTGCCCTGCAAGCGTTTCTCTACATCACCTGTGGCCCGATGGGCGACTACGGCACGCATAGGAAGAAGGTGGGAAAGGGAGAGAGGGGTTTCAAAAGGGGGTCGAGGAAAGGGGGGAGGGGGGAGGGGGGGAGCTGACAGAGGTGCACTTGATGGATCTCGGTGAAGTGTGGTGGGGTGAGAGGGGAGAAGGAGAGGAAGGTAGAGAGGGGAGAATAATCTTGGGAGACAGGGTCTTGTTATCTCGACTGTGCTATGCTGCATCTGCCTATTCTTGTACCTCGCCATCACGAAACCCTCAATGTACGTCTATGCTGGAATCCTGACCATCCTGATGAACGGCTTCTACGGCCTCGGCACAGTCTTCTACAACTCGGTAACCTCTTCTCGCTCGTTTCTTGATACCATATGTTCTACCTCTTTTCTCCTCCTTTCCTCTCCTCGCTGCTGTCGCCCTCTCCCTTTCCCTTGCTCACTGCTCTCTCGTGACAGTTCCTCCCGCTCTTGGCATCGGAGCACAAGGACTACAAGGCTTCCAACGGCGACTTGCGACTGTGGCAGCGAATTCAAAACGCCATGAGTGGGATCGGAGTAGTCATCGGGTACGTGGCAGGAATTATCACGTGCGTGGTATGCGCAATGATCGCCCTGGGGCTGACGAAGAAGGACGGGTCTTCGTTCCTACCCGGTGAGGAGAAGACGAGGGGCGAGGAGGGGGAGGGGAGGGGAGAGGAGAGGAGAGGGAGGCAGCGAGGAGGGAGGAGGAATCGTGCTCAGGGTGGAGGGAGAAGACAAGGGAGATGTGAGAGGAGAAGGTGATGGTGACGAGGTTTGCAGGATTTGGATACAGGATAGGCACACGGGCAGCACTTGCCTTCTGCGGGGGCTGGTTTATGCTGTTTTCCTTATGGACCTTCAAGTATATGCGTGAATATCCTGGAAAAGATCTCCCAGCAGGTGATGAAAGCATGTTTGTGCTGCATGCTTGTTTGCATGGCTTGTTGAAGCAAGTTATGAAAGTTGTGAAAGCTCGATGAGCATTGCTGCTTCATGCAAACTCTGACGGTGTGACAACAGGAGAACGATTGATTTTCAAGGGATGGATCAACACTTATCGAACTCTCCGAGGTTTGTGTGCTGGACTCTCTCGATTGATGGGTCTCACTTGATGCTTACAGAGATCATGAAATACCCGGAAACTGCTAAGTTCGCTCTGGCATGGTAAGGAGCGAGTGAAGAGCGGGGAGGGGGAGGGGTTGAAATCCATGCGGCATGAAAGAGAGAGTGGTGATGTTCACGAACAGGTTCGTCTACTCCGACGCTTGCTCAACGCTCTCAACAGGTGAGTCATGAGGAGCAGGAGAAGACGAGAACGAGTGACTGAATGTATTCCCCTCAGTCGGAGTGCTTGCTGGGACCAACATCTTGTGTATGAACGCGACCCAAATCTTGTACGTTGTCATCGAAGTCCACGTAGTGGCAATCTTTGGATGCTACTTTTTCTTCTGGTTGGAAGGTGAGTCGAGGAGCAGGAGCAGGAGGAGGAGGAGCACATAGCGAGAGGGTAGAGCAACAGTCTGTGTGTGTGTGTTGGGGGGGGGGGGGGGGGGGGGGGGGGGGGCCCCCGGAAAAAAAAGACGTTGAAGGAGAGAGTGAATGGAGAGAGACTGAAAGCATTCGGTTGACTTGGAGGGCGCAGGACACTTCAAGATTCCCGTCAAGTACGTGCTGATGATGCTGGTCCTTATCAATGTCTTCATCAGCGCATGGGGAATGTCAGGATTTTTTGAGGTCAACGAAAAAATTCTGCCCTGCCCCACTTCTCTGCTCTCTTCCTCTTTCTCTGCTCTCCGCTCCTCTCCTCTCCGCTCCTCTTCTCTCCGCTCCTCTCCTCTCCTCTCCTCTCCTCTATCATCTCGCCTCTTCTATCATCTCTTGCAGTTCACCATTCCTTCGCTCTTCTGTTTCTCACTGGCTGGCAGTCATCGCAAGTTGGCATGCGTCACGTGTGGGAGCTTTTCTGGCCTTTTGGCTTCTTCTACGGCCTTTTAATCGGGTAAGGGAGAAGGAGGCAGTCAGCAAAGGGATGGTAGGCAAGTAGAGATAGGGAGGGGAGGGGAGGGGAGGGAGAAGGGGACAGGAAGGAAAGAAGGAGGAACTTACATGCTCTTGCAGCGCTCTTCACGGGTACTCAAGGGCCACATGGGCGGATTTATCACCTCCGGGCAAGGAGAGCGAATTCTTTGCTTTCTACGCCATCACGGATAAGGTGAGATGATGTCACCTGATATCAACATGACTGATCTTGCTCCTTTCCTCTCGTTCTTTCTCGTCCTTCCCCCCTCCTCCCTTCTCTTCTCTTCTCCTCCTCTCCACTCCTCTCTCCTCTCCTCCCCTCTCCTCTCCTCTCTCAGGGATCATCATGGCTGGGTCCTCTCGTCTGCGCTGAGATCTACAACAAGACAAGTCCGTCTTGCCTCGCTCTCATTCTTCCCTTGACGAGTTCTCAACAGACTCCATCTGCGCTGCCTTCTTTTTTCTCTGCGGAATGAGCATCCTGGGAATCATCCTAATCTTCTGGGTCGATCATGAGAAAGGTATCGTCCTCACGCTTCCGATTGTTTCTCCTGCTCCTCCGCCTCCCATCTATCCTCTTGTCTCCTCCTACATCATGTTTACCCTCCTCCATCCTCCTCCCATGTCTTCCTTCCTCTCCTGCTACTTCCCCCATCCCCTCCTCGACTTGTGCCCTTCTGAGCTCGTGGCAGGCATGTCGGACGTCGGTCGTGTGCCCGAGCGAGAGGCCCACATGTTCGAGGAAGTGACGCTGGCGAGTATCGAGAAGATCACTGTCATGGACCTGCCGCAAGGGCATGTGGTGGAGCTTGCTGAGGTGAGAAGGGGGAAGATGGAGAAAGGAGAGAATGAGAAACGCAGGGAGAAGGAGAGGGAGGGACAAGAAGAGGGAGGGACAAGGAGAGGGAGAGGGAGGGACAAGGAGAGGGAGGGAGAAGGAAGGAAGCATCTTGACATATGGATCAGATGGACGGAAAGGACTCTAGTGGGACGGATTCACCCGTGAACTCTTAACAGACCAGCCTGATGAATGTAATATATCCTCCTCGGTGGCTATGAGGACCTATGGCGCCGTAGGAGGAAGGGAAGGGTCGGAGAATGAAAGATTTTTGTATCGTGAATGAAGGATTTTGGTATCTTTAACCAGAACACTGTCAAATGAATCTAACACACTTGATGCCTGGGCTCTTCACTTCAAATTTCTCATCCAGTCCTGTCTTGCGTCAACTTTTCCTTTCTCGAACCTTTCTTGGCCGATCAACTGCGTCACGGGTCAAGCAGGATCAGAGACAGCATGCACTTAGTTGCTCCTCCTCCCCTCCCACCCATTCTTCATCTTCCATGCTTCCCTCCCTCCTGTCTCCACCGTCTCCTCCCTCCCCTTTGTTTCCCTTCCACGTCATTCTTTCGTCCTCTCCTCCCTCCTCACTCTCCTTCATTCCCGCTTACCTTAATGGCCGTCCTCCTCTGCAGCTTGTTGGTGGCCGTCAGCCCGCCATTCTGCGGGGTCCAGGCGTCCGGTCCCTGACCCATCTGCCCGTCGAGGAGAGTGACGTTGAACAACTTCTCAAGGTCGCCGAGTCCTCCTTTCTTCCCTTCTGCTGCCAGCGAGTCGAACACGACCTTCCTCGCCCGAGCATCGTTGATCAGCTGCTGGTATGGCAGGTCGATCCCCTCGCTCCTGGCCCATTTCTCCAGCTCGCCCTTGTTGACCTGTACGTAGGCGACCGAACGGTCGACGTCTCCACCGGCATACACGAGGATTCCTCCAGCCAGCGCGTCCACGAAGACGGAGTTGTTGAACTTCATCTCCATGTGCTCGATGGCAACATACTCTCCTCCCTTGAGCTTCACCAGGTTCTTCTTCCTGTCAACGATCTTGAGCGAACCGTCGGGGGTCCACTCTCCGATGTCTCCGGTAGCGAAGTATCCACCAGGAAGATACGCCTCCTTCGTCTCCTTGGGCATCTTGTAGTAGCCCGAGGTCACCACGTTGCCGCCGATGAGGACCTCTCCGCGTCCAAGGCAAGGCTCTCCGTTGGCGTTGAGGACGTCGGTCGTCCTGTAGGGGACTCCGTTGCTGTCCATGATGTACTCGGTGTTGTCCTCCGTCCTGGCGTCAATGAGCTTCACTTGCAGTGAGGAGAGCGGCATGCCCACAACCCCCACGCGCGTGTCGCCGATGAACTGGACAGTTCCTCCTCCGCAGGTCTCCGTGAGGCCGTACCCTTGGATGATGGGGCAGATGGCGGCAGAGCAGAAGGACTGCACCTCCTCGTCGATGGGTCCTCCTCCACTGATGGCGATCTTGAGCCTGCCTCCGGTGATCTTCTTAATCTTGGAGAAGACGAGCAGGTCGAAGAGCGGCGTGCTGATGCCCCACTTCATCGCTGCTACCTTAGTCTTGACGGCATAAGAGAACAGGGCAGCCTTGAGCCCTCCCGCTGCCTTCGCCTTCGCCTCTGCTCCCTTCTTGATGATGTCCCAGATCTTGGGCACCGCAGCCATCAGCGTCGGCTTGAACTCCTCCAGCGCTCCCAGCGGTTCGCTGCCGCTGTTGGTGAGCGTACGCGGGTCGCAGTAGCCGAGGGCAGCGCCGATGGCCAGCTGAGAGTTCTCGGCGGCGAGCTCGAGGATGTGAGCAAGAGGAAGGAAAGCGGCATAGACCTCGCGCCCGGGCTTGATGTGGGGGAGGAAGTGGTGAACGAGTCCAGCCACCATGGCGAGAAGAGCCTTGTGGGTGATCAACACTCCCTTGGGCTTGCCCGTGGAGCCAGAGGTGTACATGATGACGGCCATGCTGTTGGGGGTGGGAGCGACCGACTCGCGGGGCTGGTTCTTGCCCATCTCAATAATCTCGTCCATGGAGAAGACTTTGACCCTGTCGTGCTTCAGCTTGTTGAGACGATCCTTGGGCGCGACCTTGTCCTCAGTGTAGATGATATTCTTCAGGGTTGGCATCTCCCCTGCCTTGTCCGCCAGCGCCTTCACGTTCATGCGGTTGCAAAGGAGAGTTGTCGACCCACACTCGTTCACCGCAGCGATCACTGCATCAATCCCGAGAGTCGCGTAGACTGTGGTGCAGACCAAGGACTGAGAGAAGCAGCCGTGGGAAGCGATCATCCAATCAGCGCAGGTGTTCTCGTAGATGGTGAAGGTGCATGGAGCATGAACCTGCACCATCGCATCAGCCTCATATCGGAGAGCAGCAGAGGATCAGCAGGACCTTCTCGAAGTCGTCAACGTCCCTGCCGTCAAGTGTCAGTCAGCCCCAGGAAGCAGCGAGCAAGAGGCACTCACGGGTGTGAGACCATGCCCAAGTCGCGGAGAGCGCTTCCTGAATGACGTGCAATCAGAGCGACAACTTCTCAGACAGAGAGGAACAGCATCGCATGCATTGTGTGAGCTACAAACAGCCATGGCCATGGCACGGAGGCGAAAGAGGCAGCAACGAAGGGGCAGGGGAGCGTTCAGCAGGGAGATCTCACCGAAAGCTTTCACTTTGTCGGCGAATTCAGAATACGTTATCCACGAGGTCTCGCCGAAGATCTCCGGAGGAAAACGCTGCCCCTTAGCGCTGCACAACTGCGAGTGAGAGGGAAAAACGCAGCACAAGAAGCATTACGGATCTCCCTTGTCGGCCTTGCCCAGGAACGCGCGGGTGCCAAGGCAGGGTCGATCGGCGTATCTCTTGACAACATACTGGTGCAGGTCGAACAAGGTGAAGACGTTGTCCTCCGGGAACCTGAACGGGACGAGCAGAGTCATTCAATGATAGACCCCATCTACAGGAACTCACGGAGAGCAGGTCAGGTCAGAGTATCCTGCCCGTGTTCTTGGCGTGTCTGATTCGTTGGAGATGGCTCGGACCTGGAGGCTGCGGTGAGTGGAGGAAGCTCAAGGCGGGAGGAAGCGGAGCTGTAGCCCCGACCCCTTCATACCACTAAGAAAAACCCATGAACCACATCTATCATCTCTTCACTCGTCACATTGATTGAGCCTTTTGTATTCTGCTCTTGTCTGACATCATTATTGCCTCACTGGCTCCTACAAACCATTTTCCATCTTCCTCTCCTCAATGGAGTTGCTGCTCAGGAAGCGGCATATCACCCATAGCACATTGCTTCGAAGCTTCTAAAATCCTCAGTATTTCTAAAGGAGAGAAGAACGTCGCACTCCTCTATCGCATTGTTCATCTTATCAAAACAAAAACTCCGCAGTAGCATCAACAACATCCTCGCGGACACAGAAAGTCTTGTAGGGTCGGCCATCAAACTATCCTACGTGTCACAGACATGCTCGCTTCCCAGCATAGCGCTTGCAACAGGGGCTCTTGAGAGCATGCTCACCTTGGGCCTGGACTTCATCATTCTGAGGATCATAAAAAGAGGACCCATGCTCATCAGCCATGCTGCGACGTCCAGCGCCCGCAGCACTAGGCAAACCATTGACGCGGCTCCCGCCATCTTGCCTTGTCCTGTCCTTTGCACCCCTACCCCCAAGATAAAGCAACCCCTACCCACCCCATCTTAATCAGATTGATAGTTTGCGTCTGTGGATAAGGACCCCCAAAACTACTAGTGAATTTAACCCCACCCCTGAAGTTGAATGGGTACCCCTCCCCTGCAATCCCTGGATTGAAACCACAGCCCTATCCACCCCACCCCCTAACTTGAACATTTTGAACCACCGGTCTCATTTCTTTTGTTCTCCCATACCCCACCCCCATCCCGCCAGCACTATCTGTAGATGCAGCTCACCCCTACCCTGGTTCTTGTATATCGGCACCCCTTCATATGACCGGTGGCGTATCGCTCTGGGATCGGGTGGGTAGGGGTGTAGCTGCAAGTAAATTGGAGGTGCGGTGATACAAGTAGGGGTACTTTTAAGGTGACAAGAGAGGGTCCTGGTCATCCAAGGAAGTGAGGCTCGTAACCTTCGGATGAGTCACTCCGCCGAGTCGGGCAGCCGGTCCGGCCTGCCCGCCGGCGGGCCCGGGGTGTAAACTCGGAACCGTGCCACCGTCCGGTGCCAGGTGACCGGGCCCGGGCCCGGCCGGACTCAGGCCCCAAGGCCCTTGACACTGAGCCTCCAGAGAGCCTGGGTGTTTGAGACAGTACGGTACGGTGACTGAGATGTGCAGCCTTTCACTTCACACGTAAAATCAGCTGAGGTTGCAAACGCCCAAGGAAAATTACAACTTGACAGAGATGACAAGAATGTTGAGAAGCTCAGGCCTTCATGCAGGCATTCAAGGTCTTGGCGGCGAAGAACTGCCAGATACCAGGAAGAAACAGTGAGCGACGAGGACGGCAGAGCCGAGGAAAGGCAGGAGCAAGGGGAGCAAGAGCAAGGGGAGCTGGAGCAAGGGGAGCAGGAGAAAAGGTGCACCTTCACGTCAGGGTCCTCGTCGTTGGACAGCAAGTTCAAAGCAGGAACCACTGTTGAGTCTACGATCTGCAAGAAGAAGTATCAGTGAGGAGAAATCAGAAGAGGAGGGAGGGGAGCAAGCGAGCGAGCAAGCAAGATTACAGAATAGAAGAGTGGGGGGGATAACAGGAGGAGAAGAATCAGCCGGAAAATTGGGTTGAGGGAAGACAGGGAGGGGCCTGGAATGGATGGAAGGGAGCGGGAAAGGGAGGGAAACAAATTTGACTGACCTGCGCGTCTATAGCAGGAAGCATCAGCTCCATGGCCTTGCAAGCATTGAACCTGCAGTTGGGAACAGGATCCTGCGTAGCAAAATAGTGAGACGATTTAAGGAGAGAAGAAGGCAGGGGCGGGGAGGGTAGAGGAAAGACACGGAGGGGGGGGGGAAGAAGAGACGAGGAGGAGAGGGAGGTGGTGGTGGTGGGTGGAGAAGATTCCGTTGTCAAGGAATGGCGATCACCTTGGTAGCTACTACGACAGCATTCAGCATCTGCTTCTGCTTTTCTTTGTCAACGGCGCTGGTGAGGTTCTGTAAAATGAGTGAGGCCAACGAGAAGACAGTAGGAGCAGCAGAAGCGATGAGAAATGAACAAGACGGAGGAGGGGGGTGTGAGGGAGGTGTGAGAGAGGAGGGAGGAGAGGAGAGCAGAGGAGAGGAGAGGAGAGGAGAGGAAGGGAGAGGAGGGGGGAGCGAACAGGATAGGAAAGAAATGGCAGGGGAAGGAAGGGAGAAGCAAACGAACTAGCACGCGCGAATAATCTCGAGTGGAGCAAGAAAAGTCACAGAGGCAGCAATCACGGGAGGCAAGAGGAAAGGTCTTGAAAAGTCACGTCATGTTACCGCAATGCTGTTGATCGCTGTCATGCGATACAAGTAGTTGGAGTGACCGCAAAGTTCGATCACTTGGGGAATGATGTAGACTGACGCCCATTGCACTCCAAACACCTCCGTTAGCTTCCTGCAAAATCGTGAAAATTAGCATAGACTTCGGTTAATTTAATTTGGCGAATGAAGGAGGACAGAGAAAATTTGAGCTCAAAATGTTTGCAAAGGTGTTGAAACACATACGAACAACGGCAGGAGCAGTAGAAGGAGGAAGAGCAGGAGAATCAAGAGGAGCAGGAGGAGCAGGAGGAGCAGGAGGAGCAGGAGGAGCAGGAGGAGGGCGGGTCAAGCAGACAGGCGGCAGGACTCTCCCTCCCTCCCTCCCTCCCTCCCTCCCTCCCTCCCCCTCCCTCTCCCTCTCTCCCTCCCTCCCTCCCTCTCACTTGAGGTTCAAGGAAGCAGCTTCTCGGATGGTGAACACGCTGTCCGCAAGCCACGTGATGCACATCTTAGCCAGTCGCTCCTCGAAGAACTTGGCGCCCATCTGACTTGCCAGCAGAGGAATGTGCTCGATGATCGCCAGCCTCACCCTCCACTGCTTGTCCTCCGCAAGCTCGATGATAGCTGGGAGGAGAGACTGGGAAAGGCACTCTACTCCAATCACTTGGTTCACGTTGTCGAGCTTGCAGATGATGTTGAGCCGTGCCTCATGGTGCTCGTCCTTAAGGAGGGAGAGGAAGAGAGGGACGAGCTGCTCGATCGTGTGCTCCTTGCCCAGCACGGGAGCGAGCCCCATGATCACTGACGCAAGAGCAGCTGCGGGGCATGTGTCAGCAGCCAAGCCCGACTTGGACAGGGCTGAGTGGGAGGAGAGCGGGGGTGAGAAGTGAGGAGACAGGAGACAGGAGACAGGAGACAGGAGAGGGCAGAGGAGAGACGGCAGAGGGAAGAGGTAAAGGAAGGTATGAAAGGTTGAGGAGATCAGAAGGATTCTTAGGTCAACAGGGGTGCAAGGGTCACCTCTGACATGCTGCGACTGGTCCACTACCAGGTCGCGGATGCAGGGCATGATCTGGTTCAGCGCGACGTCCACCGAGACTTTAGAGCAGAAGCCCGCGACCTTGAAAGCTGCAGCCGTCCTGACCTCAGCCTCTGTGTCCTGCAGCGAAAGTCGAGCATGTCAATGGTTACACAGAACAGTGGGTTGCTGTCTGGGAGGGTACAGACAGTTGTGGGCGATTTCAAGGAAGGCAGGAGGGCACAAGGAATCAAGACAGGTTGATTCAAGAGAGCAGGTCAACTCATATGGAAGACTAGGAGATGTAGTGAATGCTTGCAGACAAGTTTTTGATTTCTGTCATGCGTGGTAGGGTGTCACCTTGAGAAACTTGACAAGGGCTGGGCACATCTCTGCCTCGATCACTTCTCGTGGAATGCTTTCACAGAGCTGCCAGTGTGCATTAGTTGAACAACAACGAGAGAGACTGGGGGGGAAGTAAAGAGAAGAGGAGGGCATCAGAAGAGGGCAAGAGAAGAGTAGGAGGGGAGGAGAACGGAAGATGGGAGAAGTAGAACAGATCAGAGGAGACGAGTACCTCGCAGAAATGGTCAGCAACCATGTATCTCACACGCCATGACTTGTCTTGCTGCAGCTGACGGATCACAGGGCTGCCAATCCCGTCACATCGAGAGCTCTTGCCCGGCCACATTCCAGACTTACAACACGAGTGACTGGTTCTTGTCGGTCGGGAAGATCCTCCCCAATGTGACACAGTTGTCAACAGCGACGATGCGGACGGAGTCTTGGTCATCACGAGCAAGGCTAGTAAAGAGAGGGATGATTTCGTTCTGCAGGTGGTTCTGCTCGAGAACTTGGGAGAACCCGCCGAGGGCCGTGCATGCAGCTTTTCTGACCATCGGGAAATCATCTTTTGAGAGCTGCCCGAAGAGCCTGATGGTCAACCCCGTCAGCAGCACATCCATCTGCAGGTCCACGTGTTCACCTCCTCATCTCTGCCTTTGAGGACTCTGAGACGCGCTTGTAGACCGTGGCGAAGAGGGGAGCAGCAGCTATCCTGTGCGAGTTGTAGTCTCCCGTTGCAAGTCTTCGGATGAGCGGGACAAAGGCCTCTTCCACGTTGGGTATCACCTCAGCTACCTTGATCAGCGACTCCACAGCCTGCTGGTGCGTTAGAGCCCGTCGAGCGGGGCAAGGACGCGCCGACCTTATCGCGCACAAGCGCTTCCTCAGGAGCGCACAAGGTCTCGAGGGGAAGCAGCAAGTGGTGCACATGCTCGTTGCCGCCGACATGCGGGATAAGGTTTCCGATCTCCTCCGCCATCGCAAGAAGGACCTCGTCCTCATCCTCCGACTCTACCGCGAGCTCTGCAACGAGGGTGAGCGTTCTAGCCTCCTGCCTCATGCCGCATGCTCTTCACCGTTCAGGTACGGAACCAGCTCGTTCCTCGTCCTCTCCACCCCAAGAGCAGAAGAAATCGTGGTCAGCCTCCTGACAGACTGGGAGGGATAGTTCAGCAGGACACACGAGCCGAGGTCACCTCACCTTCAGCCGCTGTTGAAAGTCATCGTTGCGAAGCTCGTCGATTAGAATCTTGATTTGAGCTGAAACACCATATCACGAACAACAATCAGTGGTTGACAGAGTAAAACTACCTAACGCGTCGTCCCCATCCACCATCTCGACATCCGCCATCTGTGAAACAACAACGTGAGAAAAACTTGTTATGTGAGTCCGTCAGGGGTCAGGACTTGCTTCTGGTTCTATCAAACCATTTCCACCGTCCCTTTGCGAATTTTACAAGATTCTTATTGATACTCTTATCGACGTTCTCTCCTCTACAACTTTCACCCTCCTTCCTCCCTGGATAATCTCCCTCTTCCAGAATTCTCACTCATATCCACCCCATCCCCGACTTCTGCATCCGAGAGGTGTCTTGCTACCCTCCTTCCACTCTCCCCCCCTTCATCGCTCGCATGCTCACTCCCTCTCTTCCTTCTCTCGCTGTCTTTGCTCCTCCTCCTCTCTCCTCGCCTCTCGCCCCCTCCTCACGCCGCCCCCTCTGCCATGCGCGCCATTCAGGGAATAACGGTCCGTAACGGTGATCAAACATAACCCCACCCCTCAAATCCAAATCTCATATCTTCCAATTAAACTACCGGTGTACTTCAGCTAAAACTCAACAGGAATACATGGGTGGGTGGTCATTGGTGGGTGCAAGGTACGGTTGGCACCCGGGTGACGGTGCAGTGCCGCACTGCCATCATGGACTCGGCCCTCAGTCACTGAGTGCGTCGGACTGCCCGGGCCGGCCGGGCGTGACTCGGCGGCCGGGGCCCGGCCCGGCAGTGAGCCTGACTCGCGTCACCGGAGACTCTTGAAAGACTCAGTGACTCGGAGAGGAGCCGCTCTAGTGGCACTCACCCCGGGCGGCCGGCCCGGCCCGGGGCGGCGGGTTCCGAGGAAGTTCGGCCCGCCGCCACGAATCTTTCGTGAAGAATCTTTTCACTAGAAGAGAAGGTAACATTTAAACGCTGCCTCTAGATTCATTTACGGATAGCCCTGAGGTGAGCCTGATTATTCATACCTTGGGAGCGAAGTTGAGTCAGCACAGAACATGACCGTAATCCTCCAGCATCAGCGCAAACTATCCTTACATGGCTCCCTCCTCCTTCTCCTCCTGCTCCTGCTCCTCCTCCTCCTCCTCATCCTCCTCCTCCTCCTCCTCCTCTCCTCCTGCTCCTGCTCCTGCTCCTGCTCCTGCTCCTGCCCCTGCCCCTGCCCTGCTCCTGCTCGTGCTCCTCTCCTGCTCCTGCTCCTTCTATTATCTTCACTCCCTTCCTCTTCTGCTCCTGCTCCTCCTGCACCTGCTCGTGCTCGTGCTCCTGCTCCTGCTCCTCCCCTTCTCTCCTCCCAAAGCCTGCTTTCTTCCTCCCCTTTTCTCCTCCCCTGCAATCCCCTGCACTCTTCTCCTCCAATCCCACTCCTCCACCACCTTCACCACTTCCACCTCCTTGTGAATATTTCATTTCTTCTTCTTCTTCTTCTTCTACTACTACTACTACCACCACCACTACCACTAACACTACCATTACCACTAACACTGACACTAACACTAACACTACTATGTTTTCTTCTACTACCACCATCGCTGCTACTTATTTCTTGTTGTTATTCTTGCCTTCCTTGTCGCACAACCTTGTCGCTCTCCTCCTACTAGTGCCACCTCCGCTGCCACTGACACTTGTCCAATTCCCCACCTTGATCATGTTTCTCTCCACCTCTCTCAAACTTTCATCATGCCCCTAGATCTTTCATGTTTCTTTCCCTGAGAACTCTTGAATCCTTCACTGAGTCCTGGACTATGTGTGAGGATCCATGTTGTGTGGCCAACATGTCTTCATGAGTGCTCATTGCTTCCTTCTGCAGGATCCATCAACCCTCTCTGACCTCTTCGTCTGCATCTTGAACCATGAAACTTCTTCGGATCCTCACTCCTCTCCTCGCGGTCTTGTCAGCACCGGGGGCTTCATGTTTCCTCTCCTCCTCCTTGGTCACGCTCAACTCAAACCTGCCCAGCAAGCTCTGCTCTAGAGCATCTGCAGCCCAGTCGCTGACAATGCGAAGCGCCAAGGAAAGCAAGGAGAAGCTGCTGGACGTGATCCTCAAAGGCGACGAGCAGAGTCCCAGCTATCTTCAGGACATCACCTCCGCCATCCAAGAGCTCTCAGCGTCCAAGTGCAAGTTTGACAGCCAGACGGCCGACGGGGAGTGGCAGCTTGTCTTCCAGCAGGACTCCAGCGACTCTCCAGCTCTGCAGAAGTTCACGAGAGCAACGGAGGACTCCGGCAAGACTTTTGCTAACTTTGACGTGAAGGAGGGTGTTTTCTACAACAAGGCGTCTGTGCTGTCTGGTGTAGCAGATCTGCAGGCGACAGTGAAGTTCGATACAGTCCCCGGCAAGGTGAGAGTATACGTGAGAGATACGAACCTTTGCTGTGTTATGATAAGAGTGAGAGATTGAGAAGGAGGAGGAGGGGGAGGAGGAGGAGGAGGGGGAGGGGGAGGAGGAGGGGGAGGGGGAGGAGGATTTTGTGACGATTGATCTTCTCATAGGAGGAGAGAATCTCTTGCGACATCACGGATGCTCGGGTGACGATAGCAAACTTTCTCACCATTCCTCTTCCTCTCCGTGTCAAGGGCGGCTGGCTGGACTTCCTCTACCTTGACAAGGTCGACCACGTCAGTCGCTCCCTCACTCCTGACCTGCGACCCAGGACTTGCGGGTGACGCGAGGAAACCGAGGAGGAATCTTTGTGCACGTGCGGCCGATCATCCCGGCTATGGCGATTGTCTTCCTTCAGCAGCTGCTTGCGGATTCCTCCCGCTTGACGTAAGGGCTTGCGATGACTAGGGACATAGACAACACTATGGACTTTCTTAGAGGTTGACGGCGCTAATAGAATGATGAGTTTGCCACCATTTCATGTTCTCAGTCAAGCCCAGTGTAACGGAGTAACCTGAGGCACCCTCCTGCCTGCCTTTCGAGTCGTGGCACAAGTTTGAACCTAAACTTACAGTACCTGACGTGCAGTCCGAGCAGAACTGCCGGCTGATGAGACTCTGGCCGGTAAATTTAAGGAACAAGTTTGTTTTATAATATTTTCAAATTGCACTATTCCACTTTCCACGAAAGCCTCAAGAGTTTTCAGCTCTCGTACCGCACTCACTTGCGATGCCTATTCATGTGGTTCCTCTTGCCAGTATCGAACGCGTCTCTTTCGAACCAGTGCACTGGATTGGTGCAACCCCGCTTCCTCTGCCCGTCTGCGGTACAGCTCCTCGTACAATTACAGCACTCGGCACACCATACCCACTGCAGCACACCACAGTCAGACCTCAGCTCAAGATACAGTGGCACAAGCCCACCTGGTGACCGGCTGAGCAAGCAACAGAGAGATGTCCTCTCTTGTGCAGTGACTTGATCGGAGGATGCTCACAGGTTGTGCCAACACGTTTGCTCACAAACTTGCAAGTCGGCAGGACTGTGACCGAGCTGTCGGTCCACTCATGGCTATGTGATAGTAAAGTGCCGGCAGCCATGTCGACTCTAGCAGGGGCGTATGACCTGGGCTTGCACAGCAGCTTCTCCGAGATCTTGGGCTGTTTGGGTTGGCGGTAGGAAGATACATCCTTGGAGCTGCTGCGAGCAGAGAGTGAGTCCATCACAGTGCGAGCAGGCAGTACAGACCTCATGCCGTCGCAGTAGGTGATGCACAATGGCCTGCTTCGTTTCGCACGCTCTTCAACGACCAGCCCCTTGTTGCCTGCAGCCGCTAGTTTCTCCGGCAAGCTCCCACCTATGTTGCTGGGGATGTGGGCCGAGAATTTCTGATCAAGGTCACGGTTTCAATGATGAGAATTCGAAACAGCAAGGCACACCTCTAAGGAAGCATTCAAACTGTGCTTTGTGGTTGCCTGAGCAGCGCGAATCGGGTGGTTTGCAAAATGCATAACCATGCTTCCTTTTCTTGCTGCATGAGTTTCTGTGGCTTCTATCTTAACAAGATCCTTCAGCTCTGCACGAAAGATTCACTCTTGGGCATCCCATATTCAAGTTTTCACCTTGGCGAGCCTTGCTCTGCTGATTTAGGCTCCCAAGGTGACCAAAGGACATGGGCTTAAGATTGGTACTCAAGGACCGACCAGCACATGCATTCGCTTTGGGTGCCTGAAGCCTCAGAATCGCGGGGGCGTGCGCCATGGCGCTTCCAGCAGGGCACCCCATTGTCCTGGGCCTTGCAGCTTCTCGCTCTTGGAGCCCTGGAGCGCTCGGCGCCGCGTCGTCCTCCCATTGCCAGCTGCCCGATTCCATCTACACGTTTCCAGCCACGGAAAATGAACTACAGCCAGCAAGAGGGACCACAAGGCCCATAGAACGACCCGTTAAATAGGTATCGAACTAGAGAGCGGGGTGGGATCACAAGAGGGAGAATTAATTACCTGCTCGATGGGGTCGATGACGGTCCCGCTGTCCAGCTCAGCCCAGCCATCCATGTCGCAGCTCAGCGACCCCTCCAAGTTTTCCTCGAAGCAGAAGAGTTCATTTGGCCCTGGAGAGCAAACGCACAATACGGTGTCAGTGCCGATGCTTGCGGGCAAAGGAACACAGAAGACTCACCTCCTAACTCTGCGTGGAGCGAGTCTCCATCAATGTGCAACCAAGAGCTCTCGCACGCATTGTTTAAGGGCGTCCGAGACCAGTCGAGCTCTTTGGGGAGGATAGGTTCGTCCACACCCATGGTGAGTGAGATGGGTGAGGTGATCTGATTCACACAGACCGCCTTGGGTGAAGGACGAGAAGAGAAGGAGAGGATTCGATCGAGGACGAAGGAACGATGATCAGTAGGAGCGGCACGGCAAGAACGAACGAGGGGAGAAGGGGAGGAAGAGGAGGAGAGCAGCAGCAGCAGCAGAGCCAGTCCCGCCAACAAAGCAGAACTGTGGACTACCCGTGGCTAGTACACCCCCACCTTCTCCATATCAAATTCAGATTACCCCACCCACAAATATAGGAAATTCGAGACAGAAATTACCCACCCATGATATAGCATGACCCTTATTCTAAGTACCCCTACCCTATAAGTGACTCTCTTGCAGCGGCCCCCACCCACCCCTACCCCCTCGGCTTACGTAAAAGTTCTTGTACACTTGATATTTTAGCACGAGATGTTTTAAACTCAGGGTTTCTTGTAATGAACAAATAATTATATAAAGATATTTGGTACAAATATTGTAGGCAAAAGAAATCAAAATATTCTGTATCTTATGACTTCTTCTACCATGAAAAGAAACATATATAGATAATTTGATAAGAGTCGTAGTGATAAAACTCTTTTCTTGAAAATGGTAGCCTCCAATCTATACCCATACTCTACAAAACACATATAAGTTCTATAAGAAACATAGTGGGAGTCACAAAACGTAAAAGTAAATGTACCTAATATTCAAATAGTTATACACTTACTTATATGTTGAGTTTCCGGTACAGATGACTCTGGTAATGCGGAGATCAAATACACGTCGCTTCAGCTTTTAGTTTACCAGTACTGAGATCAATCCGGATACCATCAGGACTGCCAGTCGACTCCTTCAAAAGACAACGTTTGACTTTTTTAAAATTCAGACAACTGATTGCACGAGCAATCTAAAACATATTTTAGGATGGAAGGTTGTGATCGGGAGTCCCTTGGCCTTCCGACCCTTCCTCAATTTTTACAGTTTAAAACTGATCGGCCCTTATAAAGGTAGGCGGGCTGGGCCGCCGAGGCCGACGGCGGCCCGCCGACCGTTCGGCCGGGCCGCCGACGACACTCAGTGACACGCCGACGGCCCGCCGACGACGGTCGGACCGGCACGCCGACGACCGTCACGTTGACTCCCGACGGCCAAGTAACGCCGGGTCCGAGTCCGTCGGACCGGGCCCGGTGCCACCTCAGCCAGCGGCAGTGACTCCCGGCGCCTCACTCGACTCGCCCGGCCGAGCCTCGGAGGCTCAGCGCCCGGCGGACTCGGCGCCGGGGCCGGGCCCGGGGCTCACACGGCCGCCCGCCCGCCCGCCCCGGCCGGGCCCGGCCGGACGGGCGTCCGATCAGATCCGACTCAGCGGCGTCAGTTCACAGACTGAGAGTCCGATCACCGTCCGATCACGCACCGGGCCGGGGCCGCTCACTGGGGCCCGGCCGCGCCTGCCGCCGTACGGTACCGGGTCACCGGCCGTTCCGATGATCGCCGCCGGGTGACTGCCGAGTCCCTCAGCCCCCGAAATGATTGGTTGACTACTATTGAAGTTGCCGCGGCCGCCGGACGCGGCCCCGGGGCTCGGATGATGACAAGGCTCGGCGCGGCGACCGGCGTGCTCTGACTCTGCCGGAGTTTCCGAAGTTCCGACCTTCCGAACTTCGGAAGTTCGCCGGGAAGTTCACTGGCAACTACGGTAGACAGCGCGGGGTGGCTTTAACTGGCCGAAGTTGTCGAGTTCAGGTCTGATGTGATTCCGAATAGTACTTCGGTATTTGCAAAGAAAAAAAGGTACTCCCTTCAAGCTGAAAAACCATCTTGGCTCTTGATTTGCATGATGTTGGGCCTGTCTCCATGCAGACTCACTGTAAAACAGTGTCAAGATGTACCATAAATGGAAGGCGCAGAATGAATACCATCAGACACGGGAGGAGAATCGACTTCAAGGGCGGGTTGCCCCCTAATTCAGAACTATCAGGATGAAAACGGGTCAACACGGGGAAACAAACTCACTTCTCCATGTAGAGCAGGGGAGCCATGCCGATGATACACCCAATCGTGATGCCGACCGTCTCTCCCAGCTGCTTGCACGTTCTTGTAATGGTCAAACTCCTCTGCTCTAGCGTCAGGTCCGGCTCGGCTGCCCCGAGACGAGAAGCGATGGCCTGGACTTGTCCTCCCAGGAAAATCCCTGCAATGTCCGAGAGGAGGTTGCCGGTGGCAGCTGCTCCCATGGTGGAGAGGCCCATCAGCTTACCAAGGAACTGCTCGATGGCTTCACCGAAGATTATCATTAGGCCGTTGTCGGTGATGCCGAACCCGATGAAAGGAATGCACTGAGCGATGAACATTTGCATGAGCTCCCTGTTAGAGGGGCGCATAACCTTCATGTGAGCATGTGCCTTATCCACCGTCGATCTCTCCCACAGTCTCAGCAGCGCTGATATGATCGCACTATCCAGCAGATCCATGGTCACCTGGTTCTGCACGGAGAGCAGCTCCTCGACTACTTTGTAGATATGATCCACGTCCTCCTTCTTCACGAGCTCTGACTTGGGGTTCTGCTGGACGATGCAGAACTGCCGATCATCCTTGGATGCAAGGATCAGCACCGTGAGACCGTTCCCCCAGGACGTCAGGATCCTCTCGGCCTTGTGCTTGGCCGCATCGTTGCAGTGGAAGGAGCCAGTGGAGTTGGGAGCTCCCACGTTTGCCTTGGGCATCACCACGACGGCTGCTGAGAGGATCTGCGATGACACGCTCCTGTTCAAGGCAGATGTCAAGGACTGTTGCAAGCCGGCATCTTCTTGCTCTCTTACCTGGCTACCATGTCGACCTTGTCTTGCCCCCCTGAGGTGAGAATCCCGGAGGGGTCGCAAACTAGAGAGGACTTGAGACCCACCCGTCCGCACGCCACAGGATGCACTCTGGGGTCAGGAAAGGCAACAAGGAGCTTTGCAACAGCATGGCTGCTCTGCAGGATGACGGCGATCAAGATCGCTGTTGAAGTCAGTGCGATGTGGTCGAACCGTGGCATTCTCCTATGACGCTGCACGCGGACCCTCTCGCTGGTGTCTCTCAAGAGTCGATGGAGGAGCTAGATGTTGCTGCAGGATGCTCGAGCTCGCCTCGAGCCTTCAAGAGCGAGGGGATCCTGTTCCAAGGATCCACGAGCGAAGGATGCCAACGTTCCCTCAGTGGTGCATGTGCACAGCAACGAGCAAGGGAACAGCGATCTGATGTACTGTGTAGGAGCGATCGGGCGCTGAGAAGCACCTGTATGAAGGATCGCAAGATCGAGAGCAAGGATGGAAACTGCACGAGTGAGGGAGGAGGAGGAGGGAAGGGAGAGGAGGGAGCCTGGAGGGAGGAACGGAGGCTGCTCCTAGGGGGAGAGTCGCCTGGGTGGAGGAGGAAGGGGTGGGGGTACTACACCTGTAGGGGTACCTCTACATGGAGAAGCAAGGGGGTGATAGAAGTAGAAAGGACCGGTAGCAAGGATGGGGATGGGCTGAATTTGGAATCGAGGGAGGGGGATGTAGAAACTAGGGGTCCTGACAGATGAGTGGGAAGGGTACTGGGTATTCGGGGGTACTAATGGGGAAGGGGTGGGGTACTAAAATGGGGTGTCAGGGCTGACAGGGTGCGGGAGGAACCTTATAAAGTTAAAAAATATTTTATAGTTTTAAAAAAGAGACAATTCGTAGTGTACTTATAAGTTGAATTTAATTTTGCACTATTAATCATTTCATATGTTTTAAGAGTCTATACAAATGTTTTTCTCAACCAAAGAAATCTGAGGAGCCTTTTATAAAACTATAAAACCCATTGGCCCGTTACAGATCAGCTACATTAAATGAAACCGTTCGTAACCGTAAGCGTTACATATGTGTTGACTGCCCTACGGCGGGGCGGGTCACCAGTGACCGGAGTCCGTACCAATGGTGGTGCGCAGGAGCAGATGAACGGCAGGTACAGGAGCAGGAGCTCGAGCAGGAAGCAGTACTCCAGGAGCAGGAGCAGGAGCACAGCGAGTGCTGGCAGGAGCTCGACTCCGACTCGGCGACTCTGAACGGCGAAGCTTAGTTGTGACTGACTCAGTGAGGAGCACCGTGCGGGCGGAAGAAAGAGACCCGACTGAGGGGACGACCATCTCTCAACGTTGAGAGATCACCTGCTTCAATGGTGCTATGAGGGAAGAAAAGGCGGTTATGGACGTCAGCCGCTCATGTCTGAAGGGGGTTGGAAGTCTTTGATGCTGAACACTTGGATCGCAAGTGGAGAGGTTCAGAGAGGTCTTGAGTATTAGAAAATGAACCAAGACGGGAGGGGAGACTGAACAGATACATTGAGGACAAAAGGCAGGACAGGACAGAGGAGAAGAGGTAGTTGAGGATAAAAGTCGAGGAGAGTGGAAAGGCGAGGAGGAAGTATTTCAGTTCTTCGCGAGAACTTCTTTCGGCACTTATGCGTTTGTTTTGCAATCGCGGTGAAGAAAGGCGAGAGCTGAACAAAAACGTTGATTGGAAACCAACAGAGATGATGACAACGATTTATGAGACTGTGGATGTTGTGGATATTTCGTTGTATGCAAACTAAGTTGACAGTTCCTACATTCCTTGATGAGGACCTTGGTTGTTTCTGGGTTGTCTGTAACGAATGTGTGAGGGCAGGCGAGGCTGAGACTGACAAGCGGGGGACATGGGGGCCGAGGCATGCAAGCCGATGACAGCTTGCTGCGACAGCAGAACCCCTTACGAGAGCAGGTGAGAGAGCAGGAGGAGGCGACGTGGGAAGGCCTGATACTCCGACGCCACTAGCTTCATCCCAACAACCGCGCTCCACTCGTCGGCGTACCGAGGTTCATTGCCGGGCATCAAGTTCGAGCTGGACAAGGTTGATGAGCCTCCACCAGTCTTGTGCCTGACGTGACCGTAGGGGGTAGACGTGGACATGGTCGATGAGAGGGGTCTGACAGCTCTGCATTTCGCCGCGAAAGAAGGTGCTAGGCTTACCCTTGCCCCTCTCCTCTCCTCTCCTCTCCTCTCCTCTCCTCTCCTCTCCTCTCCTCTCCTCTCCTCTCCTCTCCTCTCCTCTCCTCTCCTCTCCTCTCCTCTCCTCTCCTCTCCTCTCCTCTCCTCTCCTCTCCTCTCCTCTCCTCTCCTCTCCTCTCCTCTCCCTTTCTCACTCGTTTCCCCGTCCTGTGATGTGTACACACTGTTTCCCTCTCCTCCTCCCCTTCTCCTCTCCTCCTCGTCTCTACCATATCAACTCTCGTGCCGCACTCGTGACGCATCTTACCTCAAGGTCACCTCGATGCTGTCACTGAGCTGATCAAGAACGGAGCCACAACATCCATCAGAGCCAAGGGCTTGATGAACATGACTGCTCAGGAGGTTGCGCAACGAGCAGGGCACAGAGAAGTCGCGGATTTCATCTATCAGGTGGCCCATCGTTCTCAGCTCCTCACTACCTCGTTGAGCTGCGCTTGCATGGCCACAGGTCGATGCCGTGGAGCAGTGGTGCGAGAAGAGAGCTGAGCAAGGAGGCGAGCTTCATCGGACTCCCTCGCCCTCCTGCATGTTCTGAGCGGATGCTGCAGGTTTGGACCCACTGGACTTGCTGGCAAACTTCCAGAGCACAACCCCACGAATTTCCACGAGCTCCCGGCGGGAACCTGTCTAGAACACTTGCTTCACGCTTCGCCCTGAGATTGTGTTGTCATCATAAAGCTTCTATCACTCCACTGATTCGATTCTTTCGAGCACGGCAAACGTTCCAAGTGCCTTCAATGGTTTTTCTTTAAGAGAACGCAATTTTCTGAAATCTAAACTTTTGACTGAGAACCTGCTGTAAACCAAATCTTCATACTCAGCCAAGCAAGCACAATATATGAAAACCTTCAAATCTGCCATCCCGAAATAGTTGTTCTTCTCCAAGAATTGAGCGATGGCTTGCCTAGCTTGAGAGCCCCTGCCAAGTGCGAGTCAAGGAAATTTTGCTGGACCAACGAGTGTAGAGTGACCTCAGGGGCTCTAGCACACAGGCTTTCCTAGCAGGTTCTCGTGGCTCAGGCTGCAGCAAAGTCACAATCAAGAGACGAGAGCCGCAGCTCCCACCTTGTTTGTCGATGAAACAGCTGAAGATACTGCTTTTGGAGCTTTGTTTGAGCCTGCGAACCGAGTTACCGTTCCTGGTGGTCCTGTCCATGTCAAACAGCTACTTTGTATCGGCTGACGCACAACTTCTGCAAGGGCTTGCAAGTTGTTCGGTATCATTTCGCCTTCAACGCACATAACTTGATGCTGAAAAACATCATGACATTCACCTGTGGCCCTCCTTCTGAGAACTTCTGCTATGACCAAAGAAGCGATGGACCGTCCGTTACTCGCCCTGGATGAAGAGTTGTCTTTGATCTGAGGACTTGAGACGAATGCGAATGATTCACTTGACAAAACCTTTTGTCGTTTCTCAATGTCCGAAATCTCCAGGTCACTTTTCCTCTTCTTTTGCTTGAAGGCGCTTTTGTGCAACTCACTGGGTTTTGAGTGCAAAGGTCCTGATGATGCCGATGCAAGACTGGTGCTGGTTCTGCTCTTTTGGTTGTTCTTCTTGGAAATTTTCCATGCGATTCCAGGAGGAAGTGGGATGTTCAGGTTATAAAATACATTCTGGCACTCTTCTGAGCGAGAAATATGGAAGTGCAGACCTTGCTTTGTCTGAAACTGTTTCTCACAGCCTGTACATACAAAGGAAAGGCGGTTCGTCCTCCTTGGATACTGGTTTACTTCGGGCCGTGCTGCTACTATCTGTAGAAAGTCGACATCTGGATCTGGCAAACGAATCCAGCGGTTTTCCATGTCACCCTCGATAGCCACGTGAAACCCTCGCTCGTCAAAGTCATCGATTGCACCACGCAAAAGACCATGTGTCCTGTCTCGGATGCGAACCTGTTCTCCGATGTATCTGTTCCCGTTGGCAAATCCCTTCTTCATGTCTACTGAACATACCCATGACTGTTTCTCTTCAAAGTTGGGAATCCTGTCTATCCTAGGTTTGATTGTTTTTGGCTTTGGCTTTTTTATGGCAGCAGATTCTTTGGATATTTTGGAAGACTTTCTCTTTCCATTGTCGATAATCACATCGCTTTCCTGTATCCTGTCTGACGTCACGTCAATCCATTCATCCCAGTCGCTACTCCAATTGATGTAATGTACTTTCACCTTCCCGTCAATTTTCTTCAAAATTTCGCACGTACACCATCTCTTTGTGCAATCTTCTACAGAGACAAAATCTCCGACATTGAACTGCCGCTGGTTGGCAGCCGTACCCTTGGTAACAGAATCGTCTTCTACCGACTTGTCGTTTTCTTGGGTGTCTTCAGAAGCTCCTTGCTCGACGGCCAAGGTCGAGGTTTCAGAGCTCTCGTCTACTTCCACCTCTTCGATGAAACTTCCTTCCTGACCTTGGCCAGCATCATCTTCAGCTTCTATTTCTTCAATGACTCCTTCAAATTCGCTTTCGTCTTCTAGATCCGACTGGTGCTCAGAATCCTTCCCGTCTGCTGCCGACGACTTGTCCATCTCTTCGACATCCACGTCTTCTTCGAACAGAATCACCTTCGTCTGGGGTATGGCGTCTGAAGCAGGTCTATCTTCTTGAGGTCTGACTGTCTCTTCTGACTGGACAGCATTTTCAGAACTGGTGGCTTGGAAGGACTGGGTTGCAGGAGCTGATTGTACTTCAAGTACATTCTTGGAAGAAGATTCGTTGGAAGGTGTTCCTTTTGTTCTCTTTCGCAAAGATCGTGTTACAACCTCCATATCATCTCTTGTATCATCTTGAGCAGATTTGTCTGAATCTTTTGAATCTACATTCTTGGCCTTGCCTTTTCTCTTCACTTCAGTCTCAAACTTGATATTCTTTTCGTGCTCACTCGTATCCCTTTGATTCTGGTCTCTTTTGGCTTCCTTACTGTTCAACGATTGAGAGTTGGAAATACTTTCAGTCTGCTCTTCTGCACTGCTCTTCATTCGAGGCTCCGATGCTGAGATTTCATCTGCTTCATGCTTACCAGCATACGTCAAAGCACTGCGCAGGTTCGAAAAGATTGTTCCGTCTGGAGCGATGTAGTTGTAATGGCTATTATCATCCTTGACCAATACTTTCCAATCTTTCGGCAAGAGGCTCCGTTTTGACATTGGAGCTTCTTGACCAGGAATCAGCTTTGGTTGAGCAGAAGAATCCGGAATACTTTGTTCTCCTTGCACAGCCTCGCATTCCCCACCGAAGGCTTTTTGGAAGTATTGAAGCAGCGACAGCTCAGGGGATTGTGCCACCCAGACAGCATCATAAGGATGCGGTTGAGGTTGCGATGCATCATCCATAGCACAAAAGGATGTGAGCGAGCAGCTCTTTCCTCCAACCTTGACATGCAAGTTGTCATGGCTCTGATAAAGGATGGCCGACTTCTTGGAGGACCTACTTGCATCAAGATACACAAACACTTTGAGCCCTTTCTTTGGAACAGCCTCCACCATTCTAATATCATCAGCTGGAAGCTCCGTCCAAATTTCTTCACCGTCATCGAAGATAATCTGAAAGAGCTTCTCCTCGTGGCTGCCAGTGCCTTTGGGTCCATCTTTGAGTATTCCCTGATACCAAATCCCATCATCATACAGGGCTTCAACTCTACAGTTCACAAAGTAGGGCCATGGCGGGTACTTTGTGCGAGATCCTGATTCCTTCTGATCATCTTCAATCAGAAACTCGAAGTCCTTGTCTGATTCTTCATCGTGCGGAGACAGATACACTACTTCTGTTATCACTTCCGTCAGTTCTTCTTTGTTCGCACCGTCCGTTAACCTGAGACTAAATAAGCAAAGGTCTCCTTCACATGTATTGAATCATTCTCACCCAGGGTCAGGCTCAGACGTGCTTTTGCTGCTGCTGGCGCTATTTCGCGTCTTCCTCAATGAATCTCTCCTTGCATTACCCTCCTCATCTGCGCATGACGGTGATTACCACCTCCTCAAGTCAACGGACGCACCTATTGAGTTCTTCTTTGCAGAAAGATGTGTTTGGCTAGAACCTCTAGTCTTACTGGGTTTTGACTCCTTCTTGCTTTCAAGCTCGTGGTTTTGAGTCCTCTCATTCGAGAAGACTGATCTTGTTTTGGGAGCTTCTGATTTAGTTGTCTCTGGAAATTTTGAATTTCTCTCCCAATTTTTCTTGCCCATTTCTGCGCTTGAAGATTTTCTTCTGTATGCAGAACACAGCATTAGCACAAGTCTACGCACACTCCATTCCACCAAGCTCTCTAAATGCACAGTAGCGCTCCAACAAACTATAAGCTGGAGCTTTGCAAGTCCTTACTACTTCTGACATGTACGACGGCAAAATGCAAGCATAGCACAACACGATCATATCCAGTTGCTGGCATCGACTTCCATGCAGAGGCTGTCCAACAACCTACCTCACACCATCATTTTCAATTCTCTCGCCCTGTTTGTGGGAGGCTCTTATTGAAGCTACAAAAGCAGAAATTCAACATTTCAGTTGGGACTTGAGCTTATCATTTCTTTCATTTCATCCAGCCTGTTCTTATCCCTTTGTCTTCTCTGTCTCTCTTCGTCGCTACCACCCATTCCATTCTTCATCGCCTTCTCCCTTTCCCGCCATACCTGGAAGCGCGTAGGCAGGGAACCCCACTGGAAGGCCACGACCCCCATGACCCCATGACCCCTCCCTATGACTGAATGGTGGTCCAAATTTCCTTATTAGTTGAGGGGTGGGGTCAAGTGACTGTACCGGTGTGGGTAACTACCGGTCTTTTTGTAACGGTCTGGTAGAGATATGTAACCGGCACTCTGCCCAGGTACTTTCAGTCAATAACCAGTCAGTAGTGCAGTGACCGTCGTCAGGCTAGCTCAGTAGTCATGATTGACTAGAGCCGATGTCACTCAGGCAGTTGACACTCTGAATGTCGTCATCAGTTGAGAGGTGGGATCATCTCAGTCTTCCAAGGTCAATCCTTTTGACTTTGAGTTGTTCCGACAGGAAGTATGTCAGTCTGAAACACATCCTTTACTCAAACATTAAAGGTCATCCTTGACTCATACTACTGATTGAAATGGCTGTAACCAAACTGGCAACTTTGCTGAGACAGCAGATCACTTGCACTGACCGATCTCGTCACAATCAACGTGGACAATGAAAATCATCTCCAATCCTAGCCATGCGCATTCACACTCTGTTCACAAGCTATTACATTACATGCACTTCTGCCCCTCACACCGCAAGCTCGCGGCTACACTCCTCCTCCGCTCTCCCCGCCTCCGGGGCCCTCCTCTTCCTCCCGTCTCGCTGTCTCCGGGCGGTCGCCCCCCTGCTCTCCCGCACTCTGCCTATCTCGTCAAGCAGGCTCGGCCATGCCGCTGACGCCTGTCTCGACTCTGACGTCCTGCCGCCGCGAGCCGCCCCAGCGTCCTCCTCCCCTTGCGCACAGGTCTCCGAGCTGGCCAGCCGCTGCTTGTCCTGGAGGCGCTCGAGGTAGCGGAGCTGGTCGGGGCTGAGGAGGAGCCGCTTGGGCCGGGAGCTTGAAGGGAGGCAGGAGGCGGGGCGGTACCACCGGACGCTAGACTCGACGAGGACGATGGACTTGGCTACCATGGGAGGGAGGGGGCGGCAGCAGCTTGCTTGAGGGTGTCGCAAGTGCGATGGCTTACATGCGACTAGTTGCGGGGGCGTACAGGCAAAAGTCACGAGTGTGGCACGGAGAGAGTAGGCCTGGGGCTGAGCGGTTGAGGTTTAGGCCTCCTTGGCGGGTGCCGCCCGGTAACGAGAAGAGGTCATTGCGATGCGGAGGCCATGCAAGTCAGCCTCAAGGCGATCCGAACTTGAGGCTTTTCGCTTCCAATCCCAGTCTGGTCCTCGTGACCGGTCACGAGCCTCAAAAGGTCGCAAACGAAGTTGAGACCTCAGGTAATGGATCCCGAGCTTGTCCATCGGAACGAGCATGTCGTGGTGCTTGAGGCCGTCGGGCACCTGTAGCGCTTCAGCACGCGAGCGTCTACAATAAACCGATCTGAGTGTGCGCGCCCCCCCTTCTACCCCGCAGCTTCAGCCCAGTCATGAGCGTGTTCTCTGATTGAAAGAAGCTGGAGAAGAGGCGGGTTTGCATCTAGACGTATCACCAGCCCGGGATGGCAAGCGACGTGCCAAGCGCCTCCCTCAGCCACCTGAGCGATCCGAGCTGACACAAGCATGCAACGGCAGACTCAAAGCTCGCCTCACACTCACTTAGTACCCCTCCCGTGATGCCCCAGTCTATGAATAGATCAACGCATACTACATAAACAGCCTCTGCTCTCAGGCAGCACCATCCTCAATCCCCAAGCCCCCCCCCAAGTACAGCACAATCATCAACTCAGCCCCCGCCATCATGGGGCGGAGCGTTTCAGTCTGGCCTTGTGCATTCACACTCTATTCACAAGCTATTACATTACATGCACTTCTGCCCGCACACCGCAAGCTCGCGGCTACACTCCTCCTCCGCTCTCCCCGCCTCCGGGGCCCTCCTCTTCCTCCCGTCTCGCTGTCTCCGGGCGGTCGCCCCCCTGCTCTCCCGCACTCTGCCTATCTCGTCAAGCAGGCTCGGCCTTGCCGCTGACGCCTGTCTCGACTCTGACGTCCTGCCTCCGCGAGCCGCCCCAGCGTCCTCCTCCCCTTGCGCACAGGTCTCCGAGCTGGCCAGCCGCTGCTTGTCCTGGAGGCGCTCGAGGTAGCGGAGCTGGTCGGGGCTGAGGAGGAGCCGCTTGGGCCGGGAGCTTGAAGGGAGGCAGGAGGCGGGGCGGTACCACCGGACGCTAGACTCGACGAGGACGATGGACTTGGCTACCATGGGAGGGAGGGGGCGGCAGCAGCTTGCTTGAGGGTGTCGCAAGTGCGATGGCTTACATGCGACTAGTTGCGGGGGCGTACAGCAAAAGTCACGAGTGTGGCACGGAGAGAGTAGGCCTGGGGCTGAGCGGTTGAGGTTTAGGCCTCCTTGGCGGGTGCCGCCCGGTAACGAGAAGAGGTCATTGCGATGCGGAGGCCATGCAAGTCAGCCTCAAGGCGATCCGAACTTGAGGCTTTTCGCTTCCAATCCCAGTCTGGTCCTCGTGACCGGTCACGAGCCTCAAAAGGTCGCAAACGAAGTTGAGACCTCAGCCAATGGATCCCGAGCTTGTCCATCGGAACGAGCATGTCGTGGTGCTTGAGGCCGTCGGGCACCTGTAGCGCTTCAGCACGCGAGCATCTACAGCAAACCGATCTGAGTGTGCGCGCCCCCCCTCCTACCCCGCAGCTTCAGCCCAGTCATGAGCGTGTTCTCTGATTGAAAGAAGCTGGAGAAGAGGCGGGTTTGCATCTAGACGTATCACCAGCCCGGGATGGCAAGCGACGTGCCAAGCGCCTCCCTCAGCCACCTGAGCGATCCGAGCTGACACAAGCATGCAACGGCAGACTCAAAGCTCGCCTCACACTCACTTAGTACCCCTCCCGTGATGCCCCAGTCTGTGAGTAGACCAACGCATACTACATAAACAGCCTCTGCTCTCAGGCAGCACCTTCTTGATCTCCCCAGCCCCCCCCCAAGTACAGCACAATCATCAACTCAGCCCCCGCCATCATGGGGCGGAGCGTTTCAGTCTGGCCTTGCGCATTCACACTCTATTCACAAGCTATTACGTTACATGCACTTCTGCCCCCACACCGCAAGCTCGCGGCTACACTCTTCCTCCGCTCTCCCCGCCTCCGGGGCCCTCCTCTTCCTCCCGTCTCGCTGTCTCTGGGCGGTCGCCCCCCTGCTCTCCCGCACTCTGCCTATCTCGTCAAGCAGGCTCGGCCATGCCGCTGACGCCTGTCTCGACTCTGACGTCCTGCCGCCGCGAGCCGCCCCAGCGTCCTCCTCCCCTTGCGCACAGGTCTCCGAGCTGGCCAGCCGCTGCTTGTCCTGGAGGCGCTCGAGGTAGCGGAGCTGGTCGGGGCTGAGGAGGAGCCGCTTGGGCCGGGAGCTTGAAGGGAGGCAGGAGGCGGGGCGGTACCACCGGACGCTAGACTCGACGAGGACGATAGAAGCAGGAGAGCAGGTCATGGTCAGGCTGGGAGGGAGTGCGGGATGGCAAGCGTGAGCCGAGGCTCTGGCCTTGTCCTGGTGATCTTATAGGGGCAGGCAGGGACGGCTGGCGTCATGGCTGAAGCAGGTCAGCGGGTACGAAGCGGTGCGAGAAAGGCTTGGGAGGCTTGAGATACGCCCCCATGAGAAGCGGGAAGGGCGCACATGTGTGGGGTTTGTGGCCGCAGGCGGCCTCGTGGGACGAAAGGGCTCGATTTCGAAGATGGATGTGCCTCCTCAGATAAGATCGGATCTCAATAGGGGCAGTACTCTACTTGTCCGTGTGACCCGAGTCACGAGGCACAAACGGTCGCAGTGGATGAGTCGCTCTGGATCAAGACATGCGTCAACCAAGTCAAGTAGCCGTACAGCCCGTACGATACAAACATGCTGCCTTGCAGTATTGAGAACGCTCTTCCTCCCCTCCCCCGCAAGCTTTTGCCTCGTGTCTCGGAGCTTGATCCCGTCGCGTCCTCCTCCTGCTGCTCGCATGTCTCAAAGCGCACCCGCTGCCCGACCTGCTCATGGAGACGCAGGGGAGGAGGCCTGGGGTAGAGACGCCGGGAAGGAAAGATACCAAACCAGATATACTACTAGAGATACCATCGCTCACCCGACCCCTTCAGCTCCCACTGCCCGACTCCCAAGCTCTCGCCCCTCCTCTCATGCCTTCTTGCCCGTGCCTTCTCCCAAGCCTCCTCCCTTTCTCCCTCCCAAGCCCTCGAGGCCTGCCCGCCTCCGCCAGGCAGGGCCTTCTTCCACTCTCCCGCCCCTACGCAGTGGCACAAGCATACCCAGCCTCTACCCCCTCTACCCATACACGCAGCTCGCTCCCCCGCTTCACTGAGCCCTCTCGGACTCCCCGCCAGCATCCGCATAGCCGCCATCACCGTGACGGCGTCGTCCTGAAGATGCGGGGGCGGAGCGTGTCAGTCTGGCCTTGCGCATTCACACTCTATTCACAAGCTATTACATTACATGCACTTCTGCCCCCACACCGCAAGCTCGCGGCTACACTCCTCCTCCGCTCTCCCCGCCTCCGGGGCCCTCCTCTTCCTCCCGTCTCGCTGTCTCCGGGCGGTCGCCCCCCTGCTCTCCCGCACTCTGCCTATCTCGTCAAGCAGGCTCGGCCTTGCCGCTGACGCCTGTCTCGACTCTGACGTCCTGCCGCCGCGAGCCGCCCCAGCGTCCTCCTCCCCTTGCGCACAGGTCTCCGAGCTGGCCAGCCGCTGCTTGTCCTGGAGGCGCTCGAGGTAGCGGAGCTGGTCGGGGCTGAGGAGGAGCCGCTTGGGCCGGGAGCTTGAAGGGAGGCAGGAGGCGGGGCGGTACCACCGGACGCTAGACTCGACGAGGACGATAGAAGCAGGAGAGCAGGTCATGGTCAGGCTGGGAGGGAGTGCGGGATGGCAAGCGTGAGCCGAGGCTCTGGCCTTGTCCTGGTGATCTTATAGGGGCAGGCAGGGACGGCTGGCGTCATGGCTGAAGCAGGTCAGCGGGTACGAAGCGGTGCGAGAAAGGCTTGGGAGGCTTGAGATACGCCCCCATGAGAAGCAGGAAGGGCGCACATGTGTGGGGTTTGTGGCCGCAGGCGGCCTCGTGGGACGAAAGGGCTCGATTTCGAAGATGGATGTGCCTCCTCAGATAAGATCGGATCTCAATAGGGGCAGTACTCTACTTGTCCGTGTGACCCGAGTCACGAGGCACAAACGGTCGCAGTGGATGAGTCGCTCTGGATCAAGACATGCGTCAACCAAGTCAAGTAGCCGTACAGCCCGTACGATACAAACATGCTGCCTTGC